CTCAATGGAAGTCTAGTCTTAACTTACTTAATCTTTACTAATCTATACTGATTTTATACTATTAGAGAAAAGATTTGTTTGTTTGTAATGGATAAACTCAAAAACTATAATTTTGACTTTAATTTTTTTTTATACAACTTAGAATGGCAAACAAGCTAACGGCCCACCTGATGGAAAGTGGAAACCGTCGTCTATAGACATGAGCAGTACTATGGACATAACGGAGTATTCTGTTTCGCCCATGATACCCCCCATGCGTTGCCATTCCTGAGGACTCAGGTGTTATTCCTCTGTACCCAGTAAATTCACGCTATTTTTTTTTTACCTATAGAGAGATATCAGATATACATTATCAACGAGTAACATAGACTATATATTATTTTCGAATATTTAAAGTTTATTTGTTTCTTTCTTCTTGGCACCTTAACAGTTGAATTAATTGTTATAAAAACTGGCTACTTTTTATCCCCATCCCTTATATATATATCCCTATAACTTAACCCGAAGGCCTACCAAGAAATGTTTTCCGAAATTTGAGGGTCAAATGAAACACAAATTTGATGATAATAGTATATGATATATACTGTTTAAAAATATTAAAAATGTTAGAATATTGTTCCTTTGAACTTCTATGGTAAAATTTATGACGAACGAAACATTAAGCTCAACTTACTGCGCCGATTTTGGCATCACACAAAAATACGTAATTGAATCTGAATGAGTCCGAAATTTGGATTTCCATTTCATGGTAACGTGGCAACTCTTTGGCAACGTGGGCAAAATCACGGTTACATACCAATTATAAAAAAAAATAACAAAAACATTCCAAATATACAAATAAAAATTAAAATATTCTCTACGCTTCACATTTGAAATAGATAAACAAAAAAATTCAATGTCGCATAATGATTCACTTTCATTAGCTACTATTATCATCGCCAGCTGATCGTGCATGTTCAAACGGTGAACGTCATTGACATACATTTACGGTTTGACAGTTTGACGTAACGGATTATTACGCGTTATTTGTCACATGGTAGGTGTAGTGTAACTACGAAATGGCGTTTTAAAACTACATAAAATAAGGATGTAAATAAATAACTGAATGTAAGTATGTATTTGTATATGTTTTATTGCTTACGCAATAACGGCTAAAACTAGTTTTTTTATCACTACATATTATATAAAAGATTGTGTCTAAAAAAACCGACTTCAATTGTAAAAAAAAAAAACAATTATTTTGATCAAAAAATTATTTCACTGAACCGGTTTTGATAAAATTGTAAAAACGCAGAAACTGATGTAAAAAAATGTTAGCATATATGCTTAGTAGAGCAACCCGTGCGAAACCAGGGTAAGGGTCGCCAATTATATGTAAAAAACTAGTTTTTAACTATCTTTTAACTAGTTTTTAACGATTGCATTTGCGTTAACGTAATTGATCGAGATAATAAGCAACCTATGCCCTTCTCTATTACAAATACTACTAGAATGCTAAACTTCATGATAACTCGTTTCATCAAGTAACAAACGAATAACTCGTAAGAAGAAAAATTTTATTAGAATTTATGTATATTATTTAAAAGTATATTTCATATAAACGATTGCAAAAGAAATCATCAAATTTTAATGTAGTTTTCTTTCTCTACGTGAAAGAATTTTTAAAATTGGTTGAGTAGTTTATGAGTTTATTCATTATAAACAAACAAATAATAAAAAAAAATATATATAAAAAAAGTTATTATAATTGATTATATACTACTTGCATCTCGTGGCTTTGCACGTAATGTTCAACAGCCAACCTTTAGTAAGAAATGAGCTATCAATTGCAAGATCCAACTTGTAGTTCTAAAGATTAGCGCGTTTAAACAAACAACCTTTTCAGTTTTATTATATTAGAATAGATTTTACACTCATAGATAAAAACCTACCTACGGAACGAGAAATAAAAATACGAGCATGATTTAAATTACTTCTAAAGTATACAAAATATTGTAAAACATTTTTCTCATGTCGAAACTGCGTCACTACTTTATTAAACTGATCTAGATACGATGATATATAGGAAATGACAGTGTAATAAGCTCCCTACACGATCGTCGCGGCTTATGTTTCAATTTATATTCAGAATACGGATAGAGGTCGTTCAACGGAACAATACGTCATGAGTAGGTACTTTACGCATCGGCTACATCATGCAACCGGTTTTTTATAACGTCGGTATATTGGCTATATATTTTTTTTTCTTATTTTTAAATAAGGAATCCCCGCTCGTCTGTAATGTAGGTATAAATTAGGTATACAGCGACATCTTACCGTTATTAAATATTTATCACAAAGTGTCGGTCTTGATTTTTGAAGGGTATCGCTTTTATTTACAACCAACTTCAAAAATAATGAGATTATCATTTTGGTGTAGTTTTTTTTTTATAAATATTTTACTGAACTAGGTATTATCTTGTTAAAGTCTATATTACTGGTTATTTGATTAGAATTATTTTGTCTAATTCCGCTACCATTAGTATGTGTGTGACTGCCAACACTCGAATATTATATATTCTTTATTGCACTTAAACAATACATGCGACGATTAGTTTAACAACTTGTTAGCAAGGGAGGACTTATCTCTGAAAGAGATCTCTTCCAGCCAACCCAGTGTAGTTAGAGAGAAAATAATTTAATTTGGGTAATCCAGTGCAGGAAAGGTACCAATGAAAATAATGTAAATACAACAAAATGTAAATAAATATATAAATAAATAAATAAATGTTGATTACTATCAGAAGTTCCACAACCTTAAAAGTCTATTCATTAATCTCCGATTGCCATTTTGTTGATGCACGTTTTGCGCCACGTGTTTCACGTGAACGTCGAAACGAGGCATCTCCAGGAAAATTATTTGATCGCTGCTCGGAGGCTGGTTTTAACCGTTCGGCAACCAAATTGCGATCTTTCTTATGTTGCTTGTAATTATTTAAAATTATAATGGTTTTATGTCAAACACAATCTTAATTATACAATAACCGTGTTTCTGCTGTTAATCTACCGTGCTTGCATGGCTGCTTAGTAGTAGAAACATGTATAAAGGGAATGCATAATATCCTTCAAAATTATACCGTGTCTTGATACGGCAATGTAATTACAGGTTCATATTATCATCATCATATTCAGCCTTTAACTGTCCATTAGTGAACATAAGGGGGGTTTTGCCAGTAGTTGCCACGTTTAGCAGGCGGATTGGCAATCGCAGTCAAACTTTGGAAATGTTTTAAGAGGCTGCTAGCCATCCCTCGCCATACCTTAGTCGGTTCTTACGACACCCATGGGAAAGGAAGGGGTGGTCTATTCTATGCCGGGACCACACGGCCAATTACAAGATACAAAGACATAACATCTTTGTTTCCTGAAACAATATTGCATGAGGATTGTATATGTTCAATATATGGGCAACACTTAAGTCTATATGCTGTTCATATTTATAGGTGACGGTTACTACTCTTTATGACGTGGACCGTCAGATAGGTTGACATTACGAATTGCATAAAAACAGATCCATTACTGGTCAGACCTGATGATGCGTATGGTAACACGCATCATCAGGTCTGGCCCACTTTTTTGGTGATAACATTAGCTCAGATATCATATTACATCACGAAACTAATAAGAATACAAACCTGTTATTCAGTGTACAAACTAAAATCATCTCTGCGTCATATGGTTATAAGAAATGTTTTCCTTAAACATAATACGGTCATTCACTATATCTTTGTAGCTTATGTCTTCGGTCATGTGGAATTTCCATGTGATGGGAATGTTTTTAAATTGCTTGGTGAAATATGAAGGAGTTAAGTAAATACCCATTACCATATTAACCGCAAAAATAGTAATTAATAGGAGTTTTATACCAACCACCCTATTTGGGTTTTCAGTATAATGTGTTCTATTGATTTTAATAAGTTAGTCTCATTGTGTGTCATTTAAGTCGCTTTGTCTAAACTAAATAATATGGGGAAAAGGATTGTTAGTAATGGAGACTGAGAATCCCATTGCTAGCAATATACCCAACCAGGTCGACCTCCTCACGGTTCCCCCTGGAAACTATCATGGTTAATTCCTGATGAATTCATCATGATGGGCTAACTGGCCTGTTTTCATTCTCATCTATTACCCTTCACTGGTGCTCCGCCAGCGTATCCTGTTAGTGCGGGCGGGGTTACCATACCATTTTCACCCATTAAAAAAAAAACTAAATAATATAAAGAGGAAAGATTGAATTTCTTGTTTGTTATGGATGAATTTGAAAAATAATTTATTCTTGAAATATACTTAACAGATTTAATAAAATCTTTCATGCAAATCCAAGCTATATTATTAGCGAGTAACATGGGCTATATTTTATTTATAACCATTAAAAATTGTGCACAAACCCGTCGCAATTTCGAAAAAGCTGCGAATTCAATCGTAATAAAATTAGTATGGAATCAATAAGAAAGTAAACTTTTTAATTTAAAAAAATGATCAAATAAGTGGTTTATTTCTTTCATTTTTCATTTCTTACTAATATAAATAAATTGTAACTGGACGATATCTATACATGGAAAATATTAAAAAAAAAACATATAATACTACGATTTTTACTAAAAACAATAGAAGTCAAAATGTTGATGTTTAATAAGTTTGTCCGTCTCTCTGTCTGCCTGTATGTTTGTTCCGGCATCAAGCAAAAACTACTACACCAAATTGAATGCGATTTTATATAAAAAATTTAGTGCATGTTTTATTTTGATACGCCATCTAAAAGTGACCAATTTCATTGGTTTTTCTATTTCTGAAATATATTCTTTAAAAAAAGCCAATTAATTATAATAAAAATATGAAATGAACTTCATTCCTTTTTCACTAGACGATTAGATGTTATGTATTGTATATCCTTGATGTTCTGTAATAATATTCCCTATTTCTCTATTTTTATATATTAATATCACTGTTTCTTGTTACAGATTTGCCAAAATGTATAGGAGTAATGTGAACAGTGTCATATCAGCGTTCGTAGTTATATTAATATGTAAGTACTTAGTGATTATATCTTATCAGATAAGTAATTTAAGGTAAACTGTATAATTATTTTTTTAATTAGTACATAAAGTATTCGCCGTATGTGCCCTGGCATAGAATGGGCCATCCCTTCCTTTTACCGTGGGTGTCGGAAGAGACGACTAAGGGAGGGCGAGAGATGGGCAACAGCGTCCCTCTCAAACTCCTCTAAAAGTCTAACTGTGGTTGCTAATCTACCTACCAAACGTGGCAAGTACTGGTAAAACTCCCCTTATAGGGAAGGCTTGTGTCCAGCAGTGGACAGTTAACGGCTGAAATAATCCTATGTGTGTGTATGTGTATAGTTATGATATAACTCATCCGTGTACCAAATTTTATTATATACAAATCGGTTCAGTGGTTTTTGCGTGAAAGAGTAACAAATTACCATTCACCTGTTCGTCCAGCTATCGTTATAAACTTTTGCATTTATTATATTAATAGGATAATAATAAATCATTTATATAATATAAGCAACGGGGACTAGCAGCTCCATAGATAGCTATATACTCGACCTCCACACGGTTCTCTCCGGAAACCATTGTGATTAATTCGGGATGAATTCGTTAAGATGGGCGAACTGACCATCATTCATCTTCACTTGTACCCTACCAGCATACCAGTATACTGATAGCGCAAACAGAGTTACCATTTCATTATGCTTACTAATATAATTAATAGGGGGAAAGGGATTCTTTGTAATGGAGACTGAGAATCCCAATGCTAGCAATATACCCAACCAGGTCGACCTCGCGGTTCTCCCTGGAAACTATCATGGTTAATTCCTGATGAATTCATCATGATGGGCTAACTGGCCTGTTTTCATTCTCATCTATTACCCTTCACTGGTGCTCCGCCAGCGTATCCCGTTAGTGCAGGCGGGGTTACCATACCATTTTCACTCATCAAAAAAAATAATAATATGAAAGTTTGTTTGTTACCTTATAGCCCCTTAACAGCTTAATCAATTAATATTAAATTTGATATATGAGATGGAGAACAATATAGGCTATTTATTATCCCGGTCAGTAAAGGCAACCCGATCACACAACGAAGTTGCGGGTAAAAGATAGTATCTTATAAGAAAAAGACTATTCTGGGAATGAAAAATAATTTCTTTTTATTTAAATAACTTTATTGTCAAAAGAAAATATGGTACAAAATGCTGACTTATGCTAGTAGTGTTCTCTACCAGTCAACCTTTGGGATGAACAGTGAATCAAAAACGCAGTACTCCATTACATCATCATTTTTTTTATACAACTTAGAATGGCAAACAAGCTGACGGCCCACTTGATGGAAAATGTACTGTAAATATGTAATAACAAAGTATACTGTTTCGCCCATGATACTCCCCATGCGTTGTCATTCCTGAGGACTCAGATGTTCCTCTCCTGTAAATTCACGCCATATCCCACCCTTTAAACCGAAACACAGCCATGCAAACACAACTGCTTTACGGTTGAAACACGAATGGGACAGAGGTACCCAAGCAAACGACTTTTGTACAAAGTCTCCCTCATTAGAGGATTATCATAATGTCTTTTTTTATTATTTATGTATTTCAAGAACGATTCCCTGTCCTTATTTATATCACACAAATAGAAAGAAGGTAAGTACGCTGTATCAATCAAAATATAATACTGTACTAGACCATGCTATAGTAGGAACAATATTTTGTAAGAAATTTATAGATAATGGTTTATCAGAAAATCAATCGGGAGCTGATAGTGTCAACAAACATAATTGCCTTACTCATAATAGATTTTCCTATTTTGTCAGCGTCTCAGAGAATTACTTTATGGCTTTGGGTTTTTATGTAATTACACTGCGTTTATGGTTTTTATAGATGGCAATATTAGTAGATTAGGATTTTTCCTTTACTCAAAACTAGTGTTAATAAATATATTTAATATCTACCAATATAACGTGTCTATGAAAATTATAGTAGTATATATATATATATATATATATATATATATTTACATATATTTACGCAATCCATAAGTAACCACCATCAGCCAATAGCAAACACATTCAGAAAAAAAAAATTATGGATGATAACGAAATGGTAACACCTGCGATAACGGTATACACTGGCGGGGTACCAGTAAGGGATGATAGGTGAGGTTCATCCTCACAGACCAGTTGGCCTATCATGACTAATTCAACAATAAATCAATCCCAATAGTTTCCAGGGGGAACCGCATGGTCGACTTGGCTAGGTATATTGTTAGCAATGGGATTGTTAATTCCCATTACTACCAATCCCTTCTTCCCCTTTGTGAATATATTAGTAATGCACTATTCAATATCAAAAGATTCTCTCCTATTATATACTGATATCGTACGTTCTGGAAGCTGGAAGCAAATGTGTTCACGACTATTTCGTGAGTATATTTGCCCGCAATCAGAGACTAACGCAGTCTATGTGTGTATGTATGAAATAATCTTACGTACATATTCAGACTTGCCCCTATGCTTGTTTCTGAATACAGGCAGAATTAATGGAATGCTAAATGTTCTGATTCTAGTAGGTAGATCTTTTTGGCATTTAAGTATTAAGATGGCGTCGTTCGCAAGATTGCTGGTTCAAATCCGGCTCGAAGGACCGCAATGTTTATTGGATGAATATTGTAGAAAAAAGACAAGATGTATATTATTGGAACGTGATTATTATAGATCTTAGAAAAAAAAGAGGTACGATAGGCAGGAAAATGACATTAATTGAATGTTAGATTTTTAAATCATCTTAATTTATTATTTATTGTTTGGATCATTTTAATAATGATTATTCTAGCTTCGTGTTTCGCAGGGCATGTAAAGCCGTCGATTAGTAAGCCACGATAGAGGCTTTCGTATAAAACGAAGGCGGTTCAAAAACTCTTGATATTAAAGGGCTACACTCTTCAATGAGTAGGTAGATTCGTATATCTAAACGCCAAATGCTATATATAAATAAGGCGATTTCCTTTACATTTCGGTACTTATTAAAGTTATAAATATTCATGCTTTTATATCTAGATAAGTATCATTTTGTACTGGAAACAATTTGCAAGTTGGATGCATAACAGTTGCCTTTATAGCTATCGACCGCGAATTTGCCGCAAACTATAAATAATACCGAACGTGCGAATGTTATGGCCGATTTACATTTGAATGGAAACTATTAACATTACTATTTCACTGTCAGTTTTTGATGTATATAATATTCTTTATTGTATATAAAAGGTATTATAAAAATACATACACATTACATAATAACACATGGGTGATATTATTTCTAAAAGAAGTTTTTTCCAGCATATTCAATATTAGATGGATTTATTGTTAATTCGTAGTTACAGGCAATGCCTGTAACTAATTTTGGTAGGTATACATGTATTTATACCAATTGACTTAAATGTTATTGTTATAAATAAATAAATAAAATTATAATTTTTCAATAAAGATTTATTATTTTTATTAAAATAATTGTACACAATTGTGTTTTCTATATTTTTAAGTTTTAATAGGTATAAACACATAAATGAAAACATAATTAATTAATATATAAATAAATATATTTATTATACATAATACACAAATATAATGAGTATATATATCAGCATTGTGAAAGATAATAATTCTTACGACGGGAATAACGAATCCCATTAGGTACTTTCGTCTTCGTCTAACTTTGCACAACGTAAAATTAGAAGCAGCTATGCAGACTCACAGCTAATGTAATACTATGCAGAGTGTATACAATTACGTTGATAGAAAAATCAAAAAGAATTTATATATATATATTCTTTATTGCACTTGTAAATTACATATAATATAGCATTTATAAATGTTGTGAGCAAGGGTGGACTTATCTCAGACAGAGATCTCTTCCAGTCAACCCAATACAGTTAGAAAGCACGTCGTTAGCGGGCAGCTGAAGTGCTACAACTATTAATATTTAGAATACATAAACAACAACAATATACATACATAAAAATATAGATTTTGTCTTATGGAAAGAGAAATCGATAGTTACACAGGAAAAAAGCGACATTTTAAAGGACGTGTATTTATCTCTAGGTTTGTCTACCCTTGATGGTTAATATTTATGTTAGATAGAAATTTGGTATTTCGAAAATAATCAAAAAACTTTGGCCGGCTCCTAATTTAAGTGAAGTAATCATAGAAAATTGGATATAAATAGATTTATGCCGAAAAATAAACCTTAATCAAATTAGTATGAGATGAACAGAGGAGTAAATATGGTATGGTATGGTTGTGATAAAAGAACTTGGCAAAATCTGTTCATAAATTAACATAAATTTACAAAGATATTGTGTAATATATACATATATACTTACAATTTCATATTTTGTTCCATAAGAAATAGCGACTTAAAATATATATGGGGTAAATACGGGAGTAAACCCTATAAAATGTAAAGAGAATTATCAAAGCCGGTTTAGAATTTCAGAAGATATCGCATATAACATACATTGTTGAATTAAGAGCTTCCTCTTTTTGATGTAAGTTCTAAAGGGAATATTATATTCCACGAATTATTTTAAAGGATACTGCTTCGTGTAAATTATAATTTACTGCGCTTGGTTAATCTTATAATACTTTGAGATCTCACAGCTGATTTTTGCAGGTATAAAATTTTTAATGAAACTTGGTTTAAATTAAAGATTCCCTAAACTATAATATAATGTACCCGAGTTGCCTGCTCTCACTTGGCCGTTGCTTACTCTCACTGAACCTAGGGTTACCAGTTGGCAATCTTACTTACTTATCTTACTTGCGGCAATTTGTTATAGAAAACCATATGCAGTTTTATAGAGAAAAGAATAAACTTCCATATAGTGTAGTTTTCATCAAAAAGAACCAATGTCTTCCAACATCTAGAACAACATTTTAGAAGCTACCCGTATACTCACTTTTTATAAGTAACTGTATGTTATTGTGTATAGAAAAAAAAGTTTA